GTAGTAGTAGTAGTACGTTACGTAGTAGTAGTACGTACGTTACGTTAGTTACGTGTAGTACGACGTAGTACGACGACGACTACTAGTAGTACAGAGAGAGAGAGAGAGAGAGAGAGAGAGAGAGAGAGAGAGAGAGAGAGAGAGAGAGAGAGAGAGAGTCAGGCAACTGATAAAAACTCTAAAGGCTCAGAGAGTAGCTGTAAATCACTATCTTACATTTAGGACGAAGGAGGATAAGACCAGAAATCACTATGTTATAGTTCAAGAACAAAAAGAGCAGAAATTACTGAATTACTTTTAGGACAACGAAGAAGACAAAGAAGATCAGAAATAGCAATATTGTTAGTAGGAAAAAGGAAGAAACCAGAGATTACTAAATTACAGTTAAGACTTATGAAGAAGAAGAAAACCAGAAATTACTAACTTAAATTTACTGATACGAAGAAGAAGAAGAAAACGAGACGAACCAAATTTGGCCGAGAGGAACCTTCCTAGAGAGAAGCTGGTGCGAATAGAACATCTTTCCTTACTCTGCAACTCTCTATTGAACCAGAGAAGAAGAAGCTTGAAAATGGAGCATCGGCTTTTATACGAAATGGAAGCAGGGAAAAGCGATCAAAAGCCCGTTATTCTTCTGTGAATACATGGTAGAGAGAGACTCGATTGAATGTTAGAGAGAGAGAGAGAGAAAATATTGTCCAATCCAATGATACTTGAGTACGCCCTCGCTTAGTTTCTAGAGAGAGAGAGAGAGCGCGCGCAAATGTTGGTCCGGCCACGTGTAATAGGAATGGCTACTTGGTTAGTAGCCACGTATGAGAGACAAAGAGTCAAAAGCCACGTCAGATATTGCCCTATCCAATGAGACTTGAGAAGCGGCTCAATTGCTAAGAGAGAGAGGCCGGTAAACTGTTGTCCAGCCACGTGTAATTAGTTGCCCTCCACGTATGAGATAGAGTGAGGAGAGAGAAATAAGAGAGTGAGGAGAGAGAAACAAGAGAGAGAGGGAAGAGAGTCACCTGGCTTTCTTCTGCTGCTTTAGGCTTGCACGTGATTTCTTGATTCACACGCGTGCAGTTAAATGAAGCGCATGCCCCTTCTCTCGCTCTCTATCTTTCTCTCTCTAAAACTCGCAGGCACTAACGTCCCTAACTAACCTGCACCTGGAGCTAGTTTCTACACCAAGGTTTTTCACTAGTTACACCCACAATTGTTTCTTGATCTAACGGATATTATACTCCCGCGGGAGTATACTGCTTCGAGTGAAACATAACATGTTTGTACAGCCCAGCCCCTCCGCGGAATTTACTCGTATAATCATGGGCAAATGATCTAGTGCACCGGTTGAATCATAGTCTAATGCAACCACATTTTTAAAAAATTTTGTTTGTGGTATTTGTGTGAACCAAAATTTTGCACATATAGTCTTTTCATCTCAATAATCAATATCAAAAAAGAAAAAGTTCAATCTGAACCCTAGATATGGTTAAAATGAGTTCGTTCCAACAATGAATCTAGACCATTCATTTGGTGAATTTCAAGATCTTAGCCTTTACAAACTAAAAATCACTTTCTTTTTCTTTAACATTGTTCATCTAATGATAATAAAACCATCTAAAAAATTTAGAAAAGAAAAAATTCTTCTAAAGCTTAGATCTAGCATCGTATCAAAATTGATGGCCTATGTTAATTGAACTAAAAAAAATACTTTTGAAGTTGTGTTTTCAAATTTTTCTTTCCTGTGATTGTTCATTAGAATGAAAAAAGTGCATATTTTAAAAGGGCAAGCTTTCTATGCTTCCCTTACAACATAAAACTTATATAAATTAAGGGCTAAGATTGCCCCAATCACAACGTCAAGTCTTTACATTATTTTATTTTTATTTTTTTTCTATAAACTATTTTGATACCAAAATTTGGAAGTCCATTCTTCTATTAAACTCCCACTAGCGAAAAATATAAAAATAAATATTTTCAGTAAAATAAAATGACCAAAATACCCCTAATAGTTTGAAGGGGTATTTTGGTCATTATATTTTTATCAAAAAAAATATTTTTAATAGGTGAGCCCCAATGAGAAGATAGCACGTATCAAATTTCATATTCATACAATTTGTATAAAAAAAACTAAAAATAAAATACTTTAAGATATTTATGATTGAGTGAATTTTTTTATATGAATTTGTTTGTTGCACGATGTCATGAAAATTGCATAGATATGAAATTTCCGCCATTTTATCAATTGATTCCAAAATTCCAAATATTTTTTTATAAAATTTGGTGTGTTTGAAAGATGATCAAAGTCTTTACAATGCATGCGTGTTGATTTGTTCGATTATTGGAACATTGAGTATCGTTTCTTGTTCGAAATGTTGCTCGATTTTAGGGGTTTTTGATAAATCAATTTTTCTAAAAAAAGATTATTTTACTTAGTAAAATTATGTTTTTTGATGATTATGGGAAGTAGGTTTCTATTTTGCTTAATAATGTTTTTTAATAAAATCATTTTTTAATACAATTATGTCTTTTGATGAATATGGGAAATGTTTTTCTACTTTGCTTAATAAAATTATTTTTTTGATAAAATTATTATTTTTTAATAAAATTATGCTTTTTGATGAATATTGGGAAGTATTTTTCTATTTTTCTTAATAAATTTTTTTTGATAAAATTATTACTTTTATTTTATTTGTTCTACTATTCTTATATGGAAATGCAGAACAATAGCAGCACCCTATCCTGATTATGGCCTCAAAAGATGCTATTTTCGTTTACATTGTTGTAGAATAAATATTCAATTTACTATTGCTTTCTTAACTGATCATTCTATCTGAGCAAAAAGATCTAAAACCCTCTGAAATTTTAAGCTTTGGATCTGATGGCACGCTCAAGAAAAGTGGTTACTGATCCACCTTGGTCATTTACAGAAAACGTTTTCTTAAGATAAATGTACGTAATAAGATAATATATATTAAATCTATTTTTGTGTGTGTGTGTGAGTGGGAGGGGGGGGGGGGGGATTTTTGGCCTATTTTTTTTTTTAAAAAAATTCCACCAGACCGGTTAGTCCGGTTAACTGCCCAATTAGTTTGGCTCTAACTGCTCCAAGCCCCATGTCCAGTTAACCATTCCGATTCGGTTTTACGAACACTGCTTTTAATAGAGTATAATAACGAACTATGATTCCTGTAACCGACCCTAATTAGTTGGAAAAAGTTTTTAACAATGATCATGATCCTTTTTTGTTTCTAGTTTATATGTTCATGTTTATAAGTTAGAACCAAGATTCTTCCTTCTTAATCCATAATATAGATCGGTAATATAGTCATTTGCCTGAATTAAGTGACAAAAAACATGATGTTCTACTTTGCTTGATCGAGATTTGAAATCTAGAACCTGCTTTTTTATTGGAAATTCTTGTGTGGATTACTAAACCCCGAACATAAAAAGGTAGTATCACGATTTTTGTACATTAATTGCCCCAAGCAAAATAATTGTTCAGCCAGAACCCTGAACCTCGTTCTCCCTCTAGAAATTCATTCTCCAAGAAGTAAATAGGAGTATTTATGTATCCCACCTTAATGCTAGTTTTCTTAAAGGAAAAAGTTTATTTAGAGCCAAGGCTCTAAATTAAACAATCAAATTAGAACGCACATCAAAATTCTCATTAGAAGAGGTTGTTTTGATGCCCAAATATCTTCAAATTGATCATCCCGACATCAAGATGCATGGACATGAGAAAAAAAATATGGATTACAAGTTTTGAAAATAGTACATCTTGTAATGCATTTTTGGACTATCAATTTTCAAGATTTTCAAGTTTTTATAGGTCAGGTTAATCTATACTATTCTTTAAGCTTTAAAATTTATAATTGGAGCCGAAAATATATTTTAAGGCTATCACAAAGATTTTCAATATTGAAACCACATTTCTCGACACTATTTGAAGGAAGGCTCTTACAAAGGGAAGTGAGATAATAATGAGTGTTTCTTGTAAGGTGCTTTTGATTTATGAGACTTTCTAGAAGCGAGAGTTGAATGTTAGTTCCATGTTTGATAACGCCTCTGTGGAAGCCGCAAAGTTTAATGGCGGCAGGGCTAGGGGTGGCAATGGGTCGGGTCTGGCTGGACCCAGACCTAGACCCAAAAAGATTCGGGTCCAAGTTTTGGACCCAGACCCGACCTGTCAGATCCAAAAATTGGACCCATACCCGTACCCCTCAGGTCTCGGGTCCATTGTCACCCTCATTGTGAGCTTTTTTTTTCGCCCCTTTTTTTTACCATCATATACCCGTATATTAGATTTCAAGCCATGTGATTTGTCGTTTAATAGCGAAAGATGTCTAGTAGTTCTAATTATATATGATCAGTAATGCACCCAAATGAATATGGCTTAAAGTGAAATATTTTATGTCTCACAGTTTACGGGTACAAGTCGGATCCAGCTAGACCCAAACCCGAACCCCGTATGGTGACCGGGTCCAAATTTTGGACATGGACCCGACCTACTCGGTCCAAATGCTAGACCCATAACCGACCCATGTTGAGTGTACCCAATGGGTCCTAAGTCATGTCCGGGTCTATTGCCACCCCTAGGCAAGGCCAATTTTTTAACGGACAAAGGCCCATTTTTGGAAGCTATCTCTTCGATCAAAATAGAAGGAAGAGGTTCCTTCCATAGTTTGAGAAAGTGAGCATCCCATTCCCACAATCTTCCATGGTTTGAGGGAGTGGGCGTCCTACTCCTTACACTAGCCAGCATCAAACACACCCATAGGAGATTATTGAAATGAATTTTGTGTGGATATGCTCTGTTCCTCTCTAGCTCAATTCTCCGAAAATTCTGAGAGTTTCTAAGGTATTGTCTATCTGAAATTTTATTTTAAAGAAATCCCACAAGTTCCTCCGAAACTATATTTCTGCCCTACTCTAAGACTATGAAGTGAGGCTAGAGAGAAGAAATTGATAGAGAGTGATCAATGATTAAGTGAGGAAGTTTAGGGAGAGGGGAGCCCTAGCAAGCATAGCCATGCTTGTGTCGCATGTGTTTTGGGAGACTCCCATGAAGCTTGAGATTTTCTCTTCCCAAATCAACACTCGATTTGGCCCGTCCCTGTTACTTTTTTCTTTTAAGTCTGTTAGGCTTGGCCTGGCCAAGCCGGGTCACAGCCCCTTTGGCCCGATACAAGCCGGGCCACACTCAGACCAGCCCTATAGGGACCTGAGCTAGGTTGGGTGAGGCCCATTTGGCAGCCCTAGTCAACACTCCGTGAGCGTCCAAGCATCCATACAAGCTAGCTAGTAAAAGGATATTACGATTTTTAGTCATGTGCACAAAAACTTCAACATCTAAAAGTACAAATTTTAGGGTAATTGTAAGGGATCATCGCATTCTACTCATTCAGCAATACAACCACAAAACAAACATGAGACAAAACATGAGATAGCAGATGCCATTTTCCAGTGCCCACGACGAGACCATGAAACCCTGTTTCATTCTGCAAAACTAGAACATAATGCAACTTTTTATACCGGAAAAACAAGGATTGAAGTGCAAGATTGGGATTCTATGCCAGCATCGCATTCGAACATCCTTTTGAAGCCATGTTTTGATCTCGTTATATGAACATTATTAACCAAAAAAAAAAATTCAAATGAACAAAAACAAGAAAATTTCAAACTGACGACAATATTATGAGTTCCATTCCAACTCAACTGTTGCTTCCTCGTAGCGAAGGGCGCCACTCTCCTTTTCTAGCGACAAGATACCCACTATCCGAAAGGGTGATATCCCAATGAAGTGAGCGCACAAGAGGCAATAGTTTCTCCATGACCACCATCGTGTCATGCACCACCACCCATCCTCCTGGTCTCAAAATCCTATCCATTTCTGCCGTGACATCTATAATGTCACACCTGCCAAGAGACAACTCTTAGAACACTTTCAAATCGACAGCCCAAAATATATGTGAAAAAAGCTAAGTTCAAGAGTTGACCACTTGGCGTTGTGGTTAAGACATCAGTCTCAGGTTGAAAATCTAGCTTACCCATCCAATAGAACAAATGAATAAAATAAAGGGAAAGCACACAATAGTCTTATGGACTCCAAGGTGCTCCAAGGCCACATTCTCTGGAGTTGTTTCCCACTCAAATATAGGTTAGAGATTAACTGAACCTACATGAACGTCTCTACAGGCCCAACTCCAGTTGATTTCCAAGCATTCATCAGAGGGTATTCATCAGAGGAAACAGATGGCATGTAACCTTGGAGTACCATAATATATCAGAGGGAACAGATGGCAGATGTAACCTTGGAGTACCATAATATAGTAATTCAGACAATGGTTCACAATCTATAAAACAAGATTAAGTAAAACAGATGGTTTACCTTGGTAAAAGATTTCCAAAGAGATACTCAGCGTGGAGGAGATCGTATGTCCGAGGATACGTGTTAAAAGACTCGCACCAGTCATGATAGATTCCAATCAACCCTCTGTCAAAGATAACAGGCAGAGTGTTTGGGCCATCAATAGGCACAACATTCATTACCCAGACTGGTTTATAAATAAGTGCTGCAGCAAACCTGAAAATATGACATTAGACTCGTATCAATCTTAAGAAAGAAAAGTAAGGGTCCTGAACTTTTTTTTTTTTAACTAAGATTTTTTACCACCCCAAAAAAGAAGAAAATGACACAAATTAGATTGCTGATTATTTCTCTAAAAGAGACACAAAATAACTCCTGAAATCTTTGAATCAACTAAACTGTAGAGAAGATAGACATGGTTAGATCCATCCCCCTATCCAATGGACATATTGAGAAAATCTAAAAACCTTTTGGTGCACATCATAATTGCGGACTTACTTTTTATTCTTGTCATATCACAAGTTTATGAAATGCTCAATACTTATCAAGCAATATGAACAAAAGCAGCAGCTAAAAATTGATGAAAATAAAAAAATCATTTTTTCTTTTTTATTTTTATATTTTTGTAGGACTTAGAAAATATGTTATTTGAAGTTTTAGTTTTCTTTCGGGTTATTCTTGTCTTTTTAAGTTGTAGAGATTTAAGGGGCACAATTAGAAGTTAGTTTTTTTTTTTTAATATGTTAATTAAGCTAAAAGTAAGTACAAAAGGAGAACTAGGAGGGGGACTGGATACCCAGATACAGGTTCCACCCAAAAAATAAGGCTACCCACAGACAGGTGCCATATACAAAATGCACAGATAGCCCAAAAAATGCTTTACACAGCGGATTGGAAACCGTAAAAGAGATCAAAGCCATATTGAGATAGGGAGACCAAGCAAAAAACAGTTCCCTATGAGTTAATTAGATTGGTTTGAGATAAGGTTGCGGCTGCCTTAGCTAAGGAATCAACATCACCATTTGCTTCTCTCCCAATGTGACTTCACGAGATTAGTGGAGTCCTACTGAGATGGTGAATTTCCTAAAAAATGCTGTCGAGCCTCCAAGGCCAGGGGGCTGAGCCTGAGGCCCAGGAAATCACACAGAAAGAATCACCTTCAATGGTTAGGGACTGAACCCAAGCGAGGTCGAATTTTCTGAGTCCTTCCTGAAGGGCTGAAGCTTCCGCAACAATGGAATCTGAGAGGCCTATAGGGATGGAAAAAGAGCATAGAATATTGCTATCATGGTCATGAAACAAGCCGTCAATGCCTGCATGGCCAGGGTTTCCGAGAGAACACTCGTCGAGGTTTAATTTAATTTGGTCCTCTTCGGGTGGTCTCCAAAGGGAGGAGCGAGGAAGCCTTTGAGATCTGAAAGAAAGAATGGTGACCCAACCGTAGACAAAATCAGAGTGAGCGGTTTTTGAAGTGCTTGTGGTGGGTAGCCCAGAAAATGACTGAGGCTTTTTTATCTTTTCAACTAGAACTTCCATGGATGATTTTGGCTTCGAAAGATTCTGGCGTTTCTTGCGTTCCAGATTACCCAGAAAGTGGCAGCCACAGATGCCCACCACAGAAGTGTACCAGCTTTTGGCATGGGGTTGAGAATGTTGAGTGAAGAAGAAGAGGGATATTTGGTGGGGTTACCCACTGCCATTGGAATAGCTGAAGGAGTTCAGCCCAAAGGGAAGAGTGGATAAATAGGTGAGCATTGCTTTACTCTTCTCCGGTACACATGATAAACCTGTTGGAGATTTGGAGTCCCTTTCTTTGTAACTGGTCCACTGTGAGAGCTCTCTCTGAAGCAACTATCCAATTGAAAAATTTTATCTTGGGGGGGCCAAGAGGGAGCCAAGCTTTAGTCACAATGGTTGCAGGAATGGGTGTGGGCTAGAGAGGAGTAAAAGGAAGCCACTGATAAATTCCCAGAATGGTTTGGGGTCCATATGAGACTGTCCTGGAGGAAGGAAAATTGAGTTTAGGGTGTTCTACAGGATTACAAAGTCATGAAATTCAGAGTCGGACAGAGGTCTTCTAAAGATGGGGCTCCACACCCTCCTGTTGCCACCAACTGAAAGTGGGATTCCACTATTGCATTAGGGTCTCAGGCCAGTAAGAACAGGCTGGGATGAAGTCCTTAAGAGGTGTGTGTTGTCCAGCCAGGGATTAATATAGAAAGGAGTTTTGTCGCCCAGACTTGGCCTATATCTGATCTTGGATTGAAAGAGGGGATATGAATGCAATAGGAATTTCCAAATCCCGTAAGTGTTGCTGTGGGCTCTTCAGGGTGGCACCCAAGAGGGGTCAGAACTACGGTATTTGAAATGGATCACTTCCTGCCATAAGTGGTTGCTTTGGGTGGCTAAATGGCACCCCCATTCTCCAAGGAGGGCCGGGTTATTGTCTTTGAGATTGCGTATGCCCAGCCCCCCTAGAGATTTAGGTAAGAATTGGACCATGAGATGAGATGGATTTTCCTATCCCTATTACTCGACCACAGAAAATTCCTCATTAGTTGCTCCAGGCAATGAGCCACCAAGGCTAGCATGTAGAACAGTGACATCTGAAAAATAGGGATGCTAGAAAGAGTGGCTTTAATTAAGGTAAGACGACCCACCGAGGATACGAATCTGCCTTTCCACCCCGCCAACCTTCGGTCAAATTTATCAATAATGTGGCTCCATAGGTTTAGTCTAGGCTTACCTAAACATAAAGGTAGACCCAGGTAGGAGGATGGCAAGCCATCCGAAGAGCAATCCCAACGAGATGCAAGAGGGAGAGTTAGAGTCTAGTTTTCTATATTTATTATTGTCTCTAATTCTATCTCTCCCTTGTTTTTTTTTTTTTTAAGATGGATAGGGATAGGGACTAGCTTGGTTGGGTTGGTTAAGATACGTTAGGCATGTTTTTAAGCGATAAGGGAGAGATAAAGTTCAGTTTTCTATTTTTATTTATTATTCCTTTTAGTTCTTATTTAAAGGGAAGATATCCCTTCTTTTTAGAGATAGTGAATTGGAGAACAAAGAAAGAGTTTGACCTTGGGGTCGACTCCCTTGCAGACCCAGAGAGATAGTATAATCTCTCAACCCTTTTTATTATTTTTCGGCTTATGATTTTTCTCCCAGCATCGGTCGATATCAGAGCCAGCCTTGAGATAACGATCCATACACCATATGGAGCGTTTGGATCAATTTGATCAAATGTTTGAGTAATTGGATCAACAATTCGATAAACACATGGAATTCCTTCGCTGATCAATACAACTATATCTACAAGATTGACTTAGTACATTGCAACAAGCGGAACAAGAATATGAAGAAGTAGATTTCTATACAAAAGACGATGTCTATAACCCAAATGTGCAAGAAATTTTGAAAATCAATTATGAAGAAGTAGATGTGCGATGTAGTATTTGAAATCCAACCTTGTAAGTTTGAAAAAAATATTAAGATTAAGTTTGAGATCCCAGTATTCTACTTCAAGTTGCACATAAAGTATTTGAACATAAAGTATTTGACAAATTGGTCTATAGAAGACAAAGAACTAAGAAAAATGTTGCGATTGCATCATCAACTTTAGAAGGCCTTTGAAAGATTTAAGTTCAACAAGCTCGATATCGAGCTTCTCCCAAACTAGGGAAAAATGATGCAAAAAAAAAAAAAAAGATTTTAATTTTTATTTTTATATTTTTCTAAGACTTGAAAATATGTTATTTGAATTATTAGGTTTTCTGTAGGGTTATTCTTGTTTTTTTAAGTTGTAGAGATTTAAGGAGAAGAATTGGACATTTAGCTTTCTTTTTTAAATATGGATATAGATAGGGATTAGCATAGTTGGGTTGGTTACGATAAGTTAGACTTGTTTTTAAGAGATAAAGGAAAGAGTTTCATTTTCTATTTTTATTTTGTTTTTATTTATTATTCATTTTAGTTCTTATTTAAAAGGAAGATATCCCTTCTTTGTAGAGATGGTGAATTAGAGAACAAAGAAAGAGTTTAATCTTGTGAAAAGATCTTAGGGTGGACTCCCTTGCAAACCCAGAGAGAGGATATAATCTCTCGACCCATTTAATTTTATTTTACTTTTCTAGTTTATTACTTTTCTCCTTGGATCCAAAATGCCAACCAAGGGAAAGGTTTTGAATATATTTCATTGCAGGTTGAAAGGAGGACAAGCCATCATGATCCTAGTGTACTATAAATAAATAATAAAAAAAATAAAAAAATTCATTGACTTTATGCATCAATTCATATGCCTTACCCTCCATACACTGCATTCATATCCATTATATTTTGAATCCCTGACCAGTCAATTCCAAATCCATGCAGATAACGATCTGATACAATTCTTGTCCAGAATTTACCATCTTCATAAAAATCCCCCCTAGAACTCATAGCATCCAATTTCTCCGAAAGTGACAATGGTTTTCTATTAAGCCTTTCAGGCCATTGCTCCGGCCAGCCGTATCGATTATCTGAGCCTGATGATAGAATTTCATAAAGACAAGTCCCCAGAGGTATGTACCTATCATTGTTAATAAGAGCTAATCAACTGAGATGGATGTAATGAAATAAAAAGGTAAAGCATATAAACCAGTTGATTGTTATAGAACCATAGTCCATTTGGGTCATCACTTGCCGAATGAGATGATGGATGGTGGAGAGTGGGTCCCATCAGAACAGAACATGACCCCAATGGTGGGTCACCCTCTCTCTCAAAATTGCTTTCCATCATCTCAGCAGATCGGGATGCCCCCAATGGAATTGGAATACAGTTTACTTTTCCTGAATGATGAAGACATGTAGTAAGATGAAATACCATGTAGCGTTATGCATGTCCTTGTCTTCACATAAAGGGGGCAATTGTACTGCTCGTGTTTTATAGCAAGAATTAGAGACTGGTTTTTGATATATGACAAATCCAATTCCATCTGAATCAGTTTCCTTCATAAGCATTGTCCAGCATATCGATTCTGTCAAAGCAACCATAGCTGCAGAAAAAGATAAATTGTAAGAATCTTCCATTTCAAAGGATCAGAAGTTCTTATTCAACACACACGCACAAGCACACGCACACACACACATACATATGGGATTGTCTAGAAAGAGACCATTTATCTTTTTTACAAGGAGGTCACAATCGTCCTTATCCCTTAAATTTCAAAACGGGTGGTTGTAAAAGTGTCATTGAATAGACACAAAATTCCAAAAAAAAAAAATTCTCAAACTTCGTGACTCACCCCAAACCATCAAAATTTGACATCTAATGAGTGGGAATGATTGTGACATCCTTGTAGAAAAGATAAATGGTCTCTTTGTAGACAATCCTTATATATATATATATATATATATAAGAAGCCACTACGCAATGGCTATGGGCGAAAATGACCAGTGTTTTCACCCATAGGCTCAGCGCCGTCCTATTTTTTTGGACGGGATGGATTAAAAGACTGCAACAGACCTACTACGTCCATTCGTTGCGGTCAAAAAACATGCGTGAACCGCCACGGACCACATGCCGTCCATTGCGGCTCCGTTCAATTAACCGCCACGGACGTAGCATGTCTATGGCGGGGCGAAACACTGTTCAAAATCGCCTATAGGCGTTTTTAAGAGTTTTCCATATATATATATATATATATATATATTTGGGTGTGTATTCAATACACATTGAATGCATATTTTTTCATTACAGAAATGCCCCATGTTTGACATTTAGGCCTAAGCCAAAATCAAAAGTTTTTAATCAACAACTGAAAGGCCAAGTTCCTTCCATGACATAGGAGCATGAGGGTGACGAGTAGAATGTAGGAGCACCTTGTGAGGACATAAGAACATCTTCCTAAAAGAAATGTCTAAGGAGACGAATCACTACATACAAGATCAAAAATGGTTTCAACCACAGATTTTAGAGGGACTGAACAAAAATAATGATATCCCAAACTAAACTTACATGTAGCCTAAAGTTTTCCATCGAGATCAATTGGGGTTGTGGTATTATGAGTTATTTAGATCACTTGCAGACAGGAAAAAGGAAGAGGTGGTCAACAGAGTTAAGCATTCCAAAGGTAATTGGCTATGCCTCGTGTATTTGTTCATTCAGGTTATCGTTTAGCACCACATAGTTTAAAATATGGTGGTTGTCTATTCTCTCTACATTTTCAAGACTTAAAACACTTTATGAGTCATACATTTGGCGTTAAGATTTGATTAAAAAACTTCCGATCTCCTATGGAAAACTCGACAAGAACCTATATCAAGGTGATGTGATCCATATATCCAAGCTTTCCAAGCACCACGCGTAGCTGAAAGTTCTCTTAGTACTCATTCACCTATTAAGTGAGGAAATCAATATAATCGCAGAACAATAGAACCAGAAGCTAAGAGATTTAAGATTATAAGCTTATGTGCGACTTGTTCATGTACAGTTAAACTATACTGGAAGTTTGCATACCTTTCCAAATATCCTGATCTTTTGGGTCATCTCGATACACAGGTGTTGCAGACCATACAAAAAATCCACCAGGTCTCAAAACCCTGTTGATCTCCAACAATGGTTTGCCACCTATGCCACCAAATAATATCAGGGAACAATTAAAATTCTTTTTTGTTGAAATATGCACAAAATGAAGCACTTCTATAGAATTAATCCATATAGATGGAAGAACTATCGTGACTAAACTTACATTATCAAAAAACAACTACCGTAACTAAACTTGGTATGATAAGACGCTACAAATGTACATTAGATTACAAAACCGGACTTACCATCTCCATCCCAATGAACCCTACATCGTGCACAATGTACTATGTCGTACACATTATTAGGGAATGTCAGCCTTTGTGTCCCTATAACAGACAGCACCGCAGGAATTCCTCTCTCTAGAGCAAGTTGTATTTGAGCTTCATGTTCATCTTTTGGGGCCATCGACATGGTAAGGACACCTTTATCAAGCAAATAACCCCCAAAGCTTGCAACACCACAACCAACATCGAGAATAACCCTAACATCCTTCCCCCACTTGATATAGGGAAAAATCTGGCAACATGCACAAAATCAACACTCAAATATTTTGTAAGTCAAAATAGTGGTGAATGCTAACAAGACTGTAATGCACATTTCCACACCAATTAATATAGCCAAGTACAATTCTTATAAACTTAATTAGGCTGTGCTTCTGATCGAAGTATTGTCCGGTAGCAAGTTGATCAGCTAATTCAGGGAGTTCTCACTCGATTTAGTTGGTACTAATACTATCTAATTGAATCCGATTCAAATAAAACTTCATATAAGTTGAGAATAAGTAAAAACCAACAGTATCATCACCTCATTTAAAATCTGTTAATAAGCACTAGCTTAAGTTCATTTGTGGCTGCCAAAACCAAGGTCACTAACAATAAGTTCAACCCCTACTTCCTCGATAATCAATAAATTAAGCATCTAATGAAAGAGAATAACTACTCAAGAAGTGCAACACATTTTCCACAAGCATGAGTGTGCAATGTCAAAGACCTAAACCTCGGTATTGGTAGGCTGTGAACCAAGAAGGGAAGAAACCTAAAGAAGGAAAACCTAGTCAAGCAACAAATTTCCTAATTTTTACTGTCTGAACATAAGATTCATCCAAAAGAAGTTAAGTTGGGTTACCATTTCATCAAAGAAGCTAGATATCATCATAATTCTTCATATATCTACACTACATTCAATATTTCCTAAATTGGTGGCCAATAACACTTTTTTTCCTTTCTAACTGTTGTTTTATTGGTTGCATGAGGTTGTACAATTTCAGTAATGAGCATTAAGATTTTTTACATGTTAAAAAGTTGTCAATCTTACCTAACATCCTCAATTTGAGAGATGGAAGTATGTCTCTATGTAGCATGCTAATTTCTTATTGGTTGAATTATATAAATGAATATATGTGTTTGTTTTTGTACACAATGCAAGGGAATGGTAGCTTTATCAATTTTAGCCTATAAACCGACGGTTCTCTTGTATATACATGTATTCTCTTGATTAATGAGACAGTTCTGGCCTAATGAAGTATAGTTCAACATATCCATCAGCCTCCCTATGAGACCGAGAGCTAATAGTTAATCCTACAAAGTCCTAATCTTGCATGCTCATGAAAATGCAATTTTTTATGACCCCAAAACGCATGTCATTGAACCCATCGACACCTGATCTTGACCTTCGGATCCTTACAAACAAAAAAAAGCATTGTAATTGGATGAAATGCAATCTGACCTCCAAGCTCGGTCGTTACAAACTTACAAATCTTGCTAAAGCCCACCATATGGAATGCATTTTTCAAAAGGAATAAATTAAGGGCTATATCGGTGAGCCAACTAAATATCTGGCTCAAGTAGGCACACCAACTCAGCATGTCTGAAGAAACCTTTCTCGCCTAATGAGGCCCGGGCAAACCAATCCTAAACAAATCAACTAAGTTGAGCTTCCGCATTCTTATAATCAGCCTTACTAAAGCAACCCAATACTTCATGGAAGAACCCTCTGACCATAAACACTTTCATCACGACCCTAACATCCAAACCTTGCCATACCCTTTTCACCAGCTCAAATGACCTTATCTATAACCACAAACACTTATTTACAACAAAGAACATGAAAAAACAAACATATAAGAAAACTAAGATTACATAAACAGATCTAAACTTTCAGTTCAATTGATCATACAACAAGCCACATAAAACTATTTACAGGTTCATGACTACACAGTTGAACTAAGAATGCAACTTTTCCTTTAAATAAAGGACCCAGTTTCTATGCGGCCAAGCCCGCATATGTAGAAATGCGGGCCTATTAATAAAACTTTTGAGATGGATTTTTGGACTTAAACGTAATCTTTACCATGGAGATCATGAATATGAAAAAATAAGTAAATTTTAAAAACTAGAAATAATAATTTTAGTAAAAAAACACTTGGACCGTTAGATTCCATTGTTTTTAGATGAAACACCTACTTGCATCCATCTTTAAGATGGATGCTTTACACTTTCTGGACCGCATATGTATAAATGCGGTCCAGCCCGCATGAAACAATTTTCCTTAAATAAATAGCTAGCCATTTCAAAAATTCAAATTCAAACTAGAAACAGTAACAAGGATCAAGGAACTTATTTCTTTTTTTTCTCTTTTATGAAGAACCATATTTCTGTTTGTGTGAACAAATGAAAAGACGCAAATCCTAATGTTTGAATTTCGGTACCCTATGAAAAATATGACCACTTTGTGTAAATGTTTTCATATATATGCCAAAAAGGAAACAATGGGTAGAAAAGAAATCTGTATCAGCCATGAATTGTGTAAAGCTTCCAACCTTAAAATAAATTAATGAACATTTCAGCACATATAGCTAGCAGACCTTCTCAATAAATCGAACATATCTTGAGACTCCATTTTTGAATTGAGTTCCACCTCCAGGAAAAGAAAGATAGTCCCCGGATATTTGTACCCAATTTTGGTCCTTCTTGTATTCAACAAGTTTTGTGTGAGGAACATTGTTAAGCCAAACCTACATTGAAGATAATTACAAAGTCAGCAGTGAGCACATAGTGCCATGAAAAACACAAATGTAAACAAGAACATCGAAATCAAAAAAATATGACAACAACTACAAAGTAATGACTCAATTGTCTTTTTTCTGACAATTATTAAAAATCCATTCTATTAAAGATAAAAATTGACATAATAAAAACTGTGCAAACTTTAGCAATAGAACTAGGCACTTAGCACATCAGACTCTCTGCTTTTTTTTCTCTCTTTTTTTAATATGACCTTTGAAATATTTTTGCATGAAGGGAACGTCAAATTACAAATCCTCCTTTCTAAAGAAGTGCCTCATTTCCCAAAGTGGTTCTGTGCCAAAACGTTTATTAGCTGCACCTGGAAGTGTGTCTTTGCGAAAATAGCGTGGACGCCCTTCAAAAGTGCTTCACACCCACACGCACATGGAGCACATACAGATACGCACACTTGGTGAGGTATGTATGAGGCACTAGAGGTGCCTCCAGAACTCTGAAATTGTCTAGAAACCCCAGAATCAACCAGTCAAGGGCTGCATATCCAGAATAACAAGAACAACAACATGGATGATGACATTGACAATGATGATGGTGGTGGTGATTGTGATGCATAACAATCACAAAGCTGATGGTGATGGTGATGGTGATGGTGATTTTGATGCAGGAAAATCACAAATGTGTTGGTGATGGTGATGGTCATGGTGATTGTGATTGTGATGCAGGAAAATCACAAACGTGATGGTGATGGTGATGGTGATGGTGATGGTGATGGTGATGGTGATGGCCATGGCCATGGCCATGGCAATGGCAATGGCAAATGGCGATGGCGGTCATTTTGGTGACAAGGAAGGAGAAAGCAGGAGTGGACGGACTAGCTTGGGTGATTTTCGAATGAGCCCAAGCAGTTGCCAGAAGTGAGATAATATCTACATTAAGAGACAATAATAAAATAGCTGTTAAAATGGTTTTTTGTTTTAAATAGTAGCTTTGCCAAAATGGTTAATTATCAATTAGAGAAAAAAAGGGCAATGTCAAAACAGTTACGATCATAATTGCTGCACAAGTCACATTAGCTCTAGAGAGTCTGGGCTCTGTTTAAGTTTATTTCAGACACTGGCTCTCATATATGAAGTATCTCTTTGGGCGGGTAAAAATGAATAGATGATAATTTAATTAGCTAAGTTTGTTCGAACTATTATTGCAGGCTTATGGATGTTCTTAAAGCTTTTATTTTTTTAATATTTACATCGAGGGTATTATTACGAATCACTTTGAATATAAGAAGTCAAGTAGGCAGCTTGGTCCAAGTGGAGAAAAAAAAAAAGATTGAATTGAAAATATCTTCTGGAGATATCCATGATATGGAATGAACTTATAATATGATGATCGAGTTGATTCCATGATTATAAGTTCATAACCCCAGCCCATTCCAGTTAGTAAGAGGGATCTTGAACTAAGAAATAGACCCTAGAAGTTAAAAGAAGGTATCCTGAGCAATTGCAATAATTGGGTTCATTGATATTCCCGGTATAGTAGATGCTATTACACATACAATCATACTCAATTCAATGGAATTGTTTGGAATGCTGAAACTGAACTGAATGGAATTAAAATAACTTGGATTGCATCAAGAAATGACAAAATTAACTTTAAGGAGCCAATATAATCTATAAATTTGGGCTTGTCACATCAATCAAGAAACCATTCTTCATTTCACACACATATTTTTCTCCATTTTCAGATATGTTTAGATTTGTTTTGATAAAACAGACTCAGTGAATCACTTCATCTTAAGATCATGGTGCATGCCAAGATAAGTTCAAGTTGTTCAAATTCAGCAAGAATGATGGCTCATCAGAAAATAAATTTTGCTAGGATGAATTGCTTGATAGGATGCGCCCAAGACAGAGAGAACTATAAAGGAGATTCCGAGATTTCAACTACTTAACAAAAATCATTTCCTCATAAAAAAGGAGACAAGAAATGCATAAAAACTCAATCATGTAGAACTCCTTGATGCAGGGCAAAGAATTCTACAAGTCAAGTTTGAATTCCATTAGAAATGAAGAAATTCGCATTTTCAATATTAGTAATCAACGTCAAAAATTAAAGCTTTACTACCATAGACACATCAAATTCGCCATTATTCATCAGAGGAAATTCGCATTTCGCATTTTCAATATTAGTAATCAATGTCTAAAATTCAAGCTTTCGATACTGTATGCACTTCAAATTCGTCATTATTTATCAGACGAAAACTCAGTAAAGTTGTGCAATAAATTTTCAAACAATTAAAGCAAAACCTATGGAAGAATACATTCAAATGACACCTGGAAGAGAGAGAAAGAGAGAGAGGGAGACAGACAGACAGAAATAAAATTAAAGCAAACAAGAAGCTTTACACGCTTACCGAACAGTGAGCTCACCATGTCCCTGCTCTTGGGCCAAGGAACGGGTTTCCTATACCCTTTGGGAAGAGGAACCAGGCATCTCAAACTCGGCTTTGGACAGTGTCTCTCTCTATGCTCCATCCGTTTTCTGGACTTGAGCGCTTTAATGGCCTTCATATTGTCAAGACATGGGATGTAATCCATAGAACCAGGCCCCCCACACAAAACCCAATTGTAGAGAGAGATTTGTTTCACTTGTTCTTTATCGAGCCCTTTCTCTCTCTTCAAATCACTAGAATGTGGGTTCTGACTCACACTTGACTCCATGGTCTCCGATCCTTTCGAATCACCATGAGCTTCACTGGAACCTCGGGTCGAAGTTGGCAAGGACTGAGATCTTTGCTGGTCGATCTGATACAGGTAGTTCTTCCATGGTGGACCGTTGAATAGTAGAAGAGCTGAAACAGAGAGAACAAGCGTGGCCGCTGCGCATATGAAAGGGTACCCCGTTTGCTTCAGATACTCATGGAACGCCATTAGAGTGAGACTGGTTTTAGAGAGAGATAACCAGTTAGAGAGAGAGACTGGGTTTTAGAGAGACATTACAGATCGGATTCACAATGAGAGCGAGAGGGGTTTCAGAGGTAGAGAGAAAATTGCGGGATTCAGGAATGGATAGTAGAGATTGAATTAATAGTGGAAAATGATTTTGGAGAGAGTGGAAAACGATTTTGGAGAGGGAGAGAACCGATCTATTTAATTCTAAAAAGATTTTGGACCGATAGTTCTAACAGAAAATTTTAATACCTTCCCTCCGAGGATCATCATTAAATTCCATCTAGATTTAAAGGAAAGTAAAGTACTGCAAATATGTGACAATTTGTCATCGGGATCCATAACATTAATGGTTACATGTGGTAACTTCAATAGAGATCCGTACAATATTAATGGTTATTTTTCGAACTCTTACGATTTTTATTTTTATATATTAAAAAAAATTTAAGAAGCTCATTAATTTATTAAAAAAAATAAATTCAATTATTTAAATTGAATATGGGTTTATCTGATGATTATAAATATGTAATAATATTTAAATTTTTATTTTTTTTACAAATTTAAATCATGTAATTTTGTTGTAACCTTAAACAATCATGATGTACTTCCAAATTTTATCATAATATATAATTTTATTATAAAAAATTATTAGAATTATTTTAAAATCTATTTTTATATCTAATTAAAAAATTTTAAAATTTAAAAATAATTAAAATAATAGAGATCTATAAACTTATGAAAATCTTAAAAATAAATAGTCTAGAAAGATCTATATATTAATGAAAATCTTAAAAATAGATAGTCTAAAAAATGTATTGCAAGATGTAATATTTTTTAGACTAAAAATTTTTTATTTTTTATATACATATATCTCGATGTTGATATCGAGATGATTAAATAAGGGGTTTTTCAACATTTAAATCATCTTTTCCGAAAGATTTTTGAGGTGGATATGAAATGCTACATTTTAAGGTTCCATATATAAACTTTGCCTGTCCATATATATATATATCCTCGTAATAAACATTTGAGATGTACAATTCTTGTTAGTGCACAGACCTGCCCATGGCCAAACGATCGAGTCCCACTCTCGTGGTCGAACCACGTGTCCAAATAACGCGCGAATAAAAATAGCGACACTCGTGACTCGACAGCAGCTGCTAACGTCTCTGTATCTTGAAGAAGCCCATCTCTTTCTCTCTCTAAATTCCACTGCCCAATGTCTTTCTCTCTCTAAACTCCAATCCTCGCCTTCACATAGCCTGCAAAAGTGGCCACATTCACTGTAGAAAAGGACAAGGGCTTCCCCTCTCTCTTAAAAACTAGGGTTAAATACTTAAATCACTTGCTCGAAGAATTCTAAGCTTGTCTTTCATGGCGGCCACAAAATTCCTCTTATTGCTTGTGGTTTTGGTATTTTCTTTGAGCTCAAAGTCTTCAGTGGGCACTGAAAAGGTTTCTCTGGATCTGTATTATGAGAGCCTTTGCCCTTACTCCGCCAGGTTCTTTGTTAATTATTTGGACGATTTGTTCTCTAATGGCCTTATCGACATCGTCGACCTTCGTCTGATCCCTTATGGAAACGCCAGGGTTGGATCCAACAACACAATTAGCTGCCAGGTTCCATCTGTTCTCTTTCTCCCTAAGTTTTTCTGCCTCTGTGGTTCTGTTTTACTGCAATTTGTGCGCTCTGCGTGGTTATGGTGTCCATGGTTGCCTCTTTCTCCCTCCCCCCTCTCTCTCTCTCTAAGTAAGACCCCCCTTAATTTTCCTTAATAGGTTGCAAAAAGAAATTCAGTGTTCCATGTGATATTCCATGGAGAATATAAGGCTTGGTATAAAGTTGGTTCATGTTCAACCTCAAAGAGGTGGAAATGTTCTTATTGAAAATTTACATATTTTAGTATAAAATGAGCCATGTTGAGATGCAGAAGTGCACCCACTGAAACATATATTAGCTAATTACAAAATGAGAGATCATTGCAAACAAATGCTTTCATGCGTTCTGACATTTTACCGATGTTTAGATTAACTGTTGAACAGGGATTTTTTGGTTGACCAAGTTCATAACAGAATAATTTATAATTTTCTATTGAAACTTCTCTTTGAATTCTCTTTCAAGTCCTTTCTTTTTTTCATTTTTTCTTTTTTCTTTTTTTTTTCTCTTTTTTTGTTTTTTAAAATGGAATGTCATTAAAAATAAAATGCTGAGGTAGGGATCAAAATGTATAAACATCATAACAATAAGATGATGAATTTAAAAAGACTGTCCCAGGGATTGGAAGATTCTCTTACAACATGAGGGCCTCTCTACCTGCTGGCTTTCTAGAAAATTTCCATTCTCTTCACCATGTTGCTTTGTATTGTTCTTTTGTATCTTCTAATGATTCGAAATGAATTGTTAAATGGCCGTAAACAAACTTGTTCTTTCCAAGGTAATTAATTAATAGTTACATTCTGTTCCTTTTTGCAGCATGGCCCCTATGAGTGCTTGCTGAACACTGTGGAAGCATGTGTTATAGATGTCTGGCCTAATGTGGTAAGAATTCCCCTATCTTTGGAAGTACATTGGCACTCACTGAAGTCTGTCTCAATGCTCATGTAGATTTACTTGTCTTTTTATGAATATGCTAAACTATGCATGCATATATGCTTTTCATAGTATCTGTTTAATTTTCCCAGCATTAATAGTCTTGGTTCTTATTGTTGAATATCGTGAAATTTCCTTGAATAGTATTTGTACAGTATTTAATTTAATTTTTAAGCAAATATTCATTTTTTAACAAAATCTACTACTCCACATATATTTATATCTTCATGAGCATGGTTGGCTTTGTATAACTTGTTTGACTTCTAGATGTTTCCTATGCGAGTTAGATCTATCTCTCCTCTCTATTTAATTGATTTGCTAAATCTTGCAGCAGAGTTGTAGAAGACATGCCAGCAGTTGGCTGTTGAGTGACATAAAGAAAAACTACAGAGACATTCAGGGAAAAGTCCATTTCATGTTCTCTCTTCTGGATTTTTATATGCAAAAGTCTGCCAGTAAAATAATATCAAAAATATCTTGTTGAAAAGTTCGGTGGAAGCCAAAAATGTATGTGTACATTGAATAAAGGAAACACTATTCTACTATTAGGTAAACAAAAATACTAGCATTAGTTATGGATTACTACTCATAGATATGTTATGTTGTTCTTTGCTAGTTAAGTAAATGTGGATTTGGAAAAGTAAAATAGAAGTCTACATGTTTACCGGGGATGCCTCCTGGACTAGTAAGAAAATAGTTAGTAGATAAAAGTAACAAGCATAGTAGGCCACTTATATTTTGATTGAAATGAATCATGGGGAACCGCTAAAACCTGCATATTGTGTGTGGTTGCTTCAATTTTAATATGCTTGGTTGCTTCGTTTTTTGTGTGAATCAAACATGGGAACTAGTATTACCAGATTAGCTGGGCTTAAAGATTGTGGTTCAAATATCTATCTTGTGATGGTGTTTACGGATAAGTTGGAAGTAAGTGTGATTTGGCATTGAGGGGTTTTTGGGTGGATTATATATCTGAGAAGACTTTAAGAACATGTAAGAGTTCTAGAGAGACGAGCCAGTTGCATGTGTTGGGATTTTTCTTTCTTCAATGAGTGAAGTAGGTGGTTGGCTGGTGAAATTGATGGAGATTGAAGTGTGATGCTCGACAAAAAGGATCAAAGGGACTCCCAAAGTGCAGCTTATGCTCTGGTGGCTTGGTGTGAGAAGCTTGCTTGGAGTGCTTGAGGTCGTGCAGGACTGGGGCCTATGAATTTAAAATGATATGATAGGGCAGGATGTAGTCTGTGTCATTTGTAACCACTTTTTCTTCATTTGTGAAACTATGAAATTTAAATGGTACTATTCTACCCTTGAAGCAGAGTTGACAGAAGCTTTGAGATATTCCTTTATAAAAATTCATCATATTTGGTAACAATTTATTTCGTGGTGAATAGGGAGCTTGTCTACTTACTATCATCAAACATGTTGTATGTACTTCATACTTTGTGTCCATGTAAATTCAGGGTGAACACTTTCCCTTTATCAATTGCATTGAAACCCTTGTTGCGGACCACAAGTATTTAGATTGGCAATCGTGTTTCGTGAAAGCTTTCTCGGGCTTCCAACGCGTTGCAGACTGCTACAATAGTGGATACGGGAAAAAGGTACGTCACTTCACCAAGTTTATTACTGTATGAAAAATCTGGAAAAATGGTATGAAATTAGAGTTTCTATATAGGTAGACAAAAGGACTTTGAATGCTTGATGGCATAATTTTCTGTGATAGGTATGAGTTATTGACTTATAATGCTATCATTCTAGTACATTTTTTTAATTGTTATAGTTGATGCACCGGCCTTCATGTCTTCATGATGGGAAATTTTGAGGTCTTTACAATGTAGAATTTCTGGAGTTGCCATATGCCTCCAATGAACAGGGCGGACAGTGGGATACCACAAAGAAAGGACATAATTTCATAATTGTAAGTATAATCTACCTTTTATATATATATATATATATAATATAATAAATTATGATTCAATGTCTTCTACCTCTACTAATTCCCATATAGATCAAATTCAAGATGATGACCTTATATGGACAGAATCCTCTGATTCTTCCAATACTTCTGATACAGAATCATCTAGTTCAATAAAAGATAATGATTGTAGTTGTCCAATACCTACACATAATGTACATACACTTACCCAAGAAGATAATTTTATATTGGACATTATTGATAAAATTACTAATCCAGATGAAAAACGATCTGTCATTACTCAATTTATTTCTATAACAAAAAATAAAGCAAAAACACCGCCCATCAATAGATCTCCTGATGAATATAATTTTGCTTCAATAAATTTTGACTTGAACAAACCATTTTTGAATTACTATTTTGTCGATTAAATTGACAGAGGGAATGGTTATTTCATGTGGTTTAGATTCTGAAGTTGTTGGAATATCTGATGGTGGATCTGGTTCATATGTCATAAGTTGATCAAATTCTATTTCATCCGTATCAGTATCTTGTTGAGATAGTTGTTGTAATTCTAAACATTTAATCCTATTTTTTAATTGAAGTACTTCATTTTTTATTACTTGTACTGCCTGAGTATAAATATTGGTCCATGGTGGAGGATTCTTTTTGAGTCTATCATATAGAGGCTTAGAATCGATAGCAGGGTTAGGATAAAACTCACTAACATAGTTTAAACATCCTAAGAACCTTTGGAGTTCTTTTTTATCAAGTATTTGATCAGGGAATTTATCAGCAAATTGTATTGATCTATGGGAAGTGAGCGACCTCCTCCTGAGTTCTAGAGGACGCTCACTTCTTCCCCTGAGGTCCGAAGGTCGCAGCCTCTCCGCTCTCCTCTCTCCTCTCACAGAGCTCCTCTTCATGCTCTACTCTACTCTCTTCTGAGTCTCTCTTCTTTCGATCCATATACTCAGAAACCTGCTTTGCCCTTCGTCTTGAAATTACTACAAGCTATCTTGACCTCATAGCTTCAATATCCTTCAATTATCAGGTTCACCTTCTTCTCTCTTTACATTTAAATATGTGACTGCAATCTTACTTCCCTTCCTTCATACTGCCCACATCACTGGAAATTATTTTTCAGTTACTGTATATGCACCCAGTAAGTCTTTCTGTTTTCTGAGCTTTGCTTTCTATTTTCTGATTTCTACTTTCTGTTTTCTGAGTTCTGTTTCTGTTTTCTGAGTTCTGTCTTTTGTTTTCTATTTTCTGTTATCTGTTTTATGTTTTCTGCTTTCTGTAAACAAAATTGTAATAGTGGTTTGTTGTTAATAAAGTATGTTGTCAAGTATATATGATACAGTTGTAATGTGAATGATGCAATTTAAAATACTGTTTAGCATAAAAATTAGAGATTTCACTTATGCTCAATGGTTAGTTATAGATGTATCTGTAATCCCTCTTATTTGCTCAATCTTGTTCCTTCTTAATGAGATAGTGTAGGACAACGGAGATTAGACAGCAGATCTTCCGATCTTGCTGCTAGTAGTGTTGTACTACCTATGAAGTGTAGTGTAATGGTATATATTAAAGTATTTACGGCATCACTTTCCGTATATATAAGTCAATGGATTTACTGGCTGGTTAAGGGGTTGGTGGGATTTCTATGTAGATGATGAAACCAAAAATAAAATCCTCACAAATACTAGACAATGGACCGCCAGAAATGAACAAAACCAAGAAATTATATATACGGAAAG